TTTTTTTCAGTTAATTTGCTCATTTATGCTGTGTAGCATTTGATCCAGTAACATTTTATTTAAAAATCCTCCCTCTCCCTCTCTCCTCCTTCAACCTCTCTCTCATCCTCTCTCTCCCACTCCCCCTTCCCCCATCTTCCCCTACACACACACACACACGCACACACACGCACACACACACACAGCTAACTGGGAACTCCCTATTGGCATGTTTTGGCAGCCTGGGCAAAAGCTGCAGCTGTTATTGCTACAGCACCTCATGACACATGCCTTTTCCAACACCTCTATTATGCCAAGACATGAGTCTTCCTAGTAGATCACAAAGCAGAGCTCTCCATTGCTAAAAAGACATACCTCCCCCTGCTCTCGAGTCTTCTCTCCAAAATAAACTCACTGCAGCTTTTCTGCTATGTTGCTTTGCTAGCTCTTTACCTTTGGATGGAGAGAGGATGTTCGACCTGGTGAGCCACTGCACACCCGAAAATTCTGCTTCGATGCGATCTCGCACAACAGCCCAGTCACTCTCTATGACTGTCATGGCATGAAGGGGAACCAGCTCTGGGGATACCGGAAGGTGAGAGTCAGTTCACTGTGGTCATTCTCAAACTGCTGTAGCTTAAGGTTTTCTAACTGAAAGTTTTCTTTGAAAACACATGGGAAAGACATACACACACATTGGCTCACACAATTAGAGATCACCAACATACATTAAGATAAAGACACCATGTATAGGAAGGGACGTAGCTTTGCTTGTTATGTATACATCCATCACAATCAATTATGACTGAAAAATGGCTTTGAGCCAGAACACTAGCACTACGGGGGTTGGGTCCAGGCTTAGCCCAGCCACCTCCCCAAGAGGGGCCATGTATCCAATAAACAAATATACACATGCATACTTTTTAAGAATCCCAATTCACAACACACACATGCACACATACACCCACAGAGATTGATGCCTATTTGTTATATATCTCAGGCTCACTTGCTTGGGACCTGTCTGGGTTAAGACAATTACATTTACACAAATATTTATATATCTATGTAGATAAAATTGTTGCAACCCTTATACAAAAAGTGACTCATTTGTAATTTGGCCAAAATCCTAAGTGTATCAAAGGAAAATTTATTTGGGGAACTTGAAAGTTTAAAGAATTATAAAGTTTGGGCCGGCCTGTGGCTCACTCGGGAGAGTGCGGTGCTGATAACACCAAGGCCACGGGTTCGGATCCCATGTAGGGATGGCCGGTTTGCTCACTGGGTGAGCGTGGTGCTGACAACACCAAGTCAAGGGTTAAGATCCCCTTACCGGTCATCTTTTTAAGAAAAAAAAAAAAAAGAATTATAAAGTTAACAATGACAGGAAAATAGTTCAAAAACAAGTACTATACAAATTTACATTTTATTGACTTAATAAAATAAAGTGCAATTTAATTATTCCTTTAAAATATTTTCATTCCTTTGGATAACTTTTTAGAATACTGTGCAAAATTGTTTGTCAACTTCTTTGCTTTTTGAGGCAGGACTTGGTTGTCAATTAGCAATTACCCCAGAGGCTCCACTCTGTTCCTCAAACCCACAGAGCAGCCAGGGCCTTCCCGGCCAGGTAGAAGATGTCCTCCATTGGCTTCTTCCCACCCTGGCATAATCCAACTTTACTTCAGGCTATAAAGAAAATGTAATACCCACCACTTTAATCAGGAGCTTGGCTATCCTGTGGCTGAGGCAAGGTCACTGTCCCCAGAAATAACAGAAAGCTGAGGGGAAGAAGCCGTGGACAATCAATACAGGGGCCACTGGTCATGACACTTGTTTCCTCAATAAACATTTTTGTTTCCACCTCTTACAGGTGGGCACCTAAAGCCACATTCACTCAAAGGCAGACTTGTGTATACAAGTTTATTCTGCAGACCACTGCCCACCCCCAGCACCTTGCAGACTGCGGCGGTGCGCCCAGAAAAAGTACAAAGTGTCACTTGTTATGTCCGTCTACAAAATGATTTAAAATCAAAAGAACTACTAAGAAGATGGTGTCAGATTTAATAAAGAGGTCGGGGGAATGACTGCAATTGGACAACCTTGCTGTTCTCTTTATGAAATGTGTAGTAAATGATTAATCTCGTGAAACCCTTTTGCTATTCATTTTGACACAGTCTGTATGGTACACAAAGTAATCTTTTTTTTTTAATGGTTATATTCTGACCATTAAGAAGTTACTTTCTGTACACATCAATAAAATATCTTCTTCACCATTCGCCTAGTATGCTTGTGGTCCCTAATGAACAGAACATTTCTCATTACTGTACATTCACAGCATGAGAGACAGACCACTCAATAATATGCATTTAAGCCAAGGAAATACAGTTGTTTTCATTAGGGAGCTTACAAAAGCTTGCAGAATGGATAAGACCAACTAATACATGTACAGACAGAGCTCCTGGGGAGAAAAAAAAAAAAAACAGGCTGCAGTGATTTCAAGAGCTAACTCTTATGAGCTTTAACACTTAAAACCTTTCCAGGATCCTCAGGGATTGGTGAAAAGAAACCATTAGATGCAGTTGTGCTGTGGCTCTCAGCTCAGATCTTTCTGTAGCAGTTGGCCTTGCATTGCTCAGCAAAAGGTAACCCTCAATGTGTATTTATACAGTAAGCAACGTAATTATACTTCATCAGGAACACGCCAAAATCTCAAAATGGAAAGTTTCTGAAATGTCTCATCTTGGTCGATGACTCAGGCCTATTCAAATGTACTTGTTTTAGACAAGTCCTCTTGTTTATTCCAAGGGCTATGCCCAAGGCATAAAGAGAGAAAGCACACAGGGAGAAATCTCTCTGTGGTGCTGCCTAGTCTATTGAGACCACTAGTTGGCCCTGGGGCTTCTAACAGCTTAACAATCTTTTGAGTTTGCTTTGAAGCTGCCCCTTTATATTAACATATTCATGAATAAACTAGGATCCGCAAGACTCTACTAATTACCTAGTGAGCTGCAGTGGGCCATCTCCTAAGCTCCTAAGGTAATCACCATGATCATCTCCAACTGTTAAAGAGGCATTGAGCTAGTGCTTTACACACATTACCTCAAACCTCGCAATCATGTAAGTACCATTATGTATAATTTACACAGGAAGAAACTGATACTAACAGATTTGTGGCAGAGCCAACACTCAAACTCAGGCGAATAAGTCTTTAAAGACTCAGCTCTTTCCTCTGCCACATTCTTAAGAAATGAGATCAATATTCCCTAGGAAAGTTCCCAATGCTTGTTGGATTCAGTGCTGCTGATGCCAGCCAACCCCTCCTCCCAGCTACGTAGAGATTTGGAGAAAGAAGGTGCCCAGAGCTACCTTGTTTGAATGGGTGAATGTTGCTGTCAGGCCCCACGTTCTGGTCCATCAGCAGCTATCAGCTTTCAGTTATTTTTAGATGTGGCTCTTTGCCACTGCAAAAGGAGAAGGGCATCCCCTATTCTGTGCTATTATGACTATGTTCCATTGCACAACTGTATCCCACAACAGCAGCTACCCAGGATGACAAATCCCATTCTTCATTTTCTTTTACCACCAGGGGGACCCCTATTATGAGAACAGTGAGTTGTTGAAACAACCTCAGTAAAAATATTTAAATTGTTACCCAACATTGGAAAGGAGAAACTGTCTTCTTTTTCAACCTCCACATCTAACTGATCACTAAAACTTGTCTCACCTCCCCCACCCCCCAGTCAATATCTCTAAAATCCATTCCCTCTTTGACACTTCAGCCCCTGGCCTGCTTGCAGCCCTTCCCATCTTACCCCTGGATTCCTGCAGTAGCTTCCTAAAGGGTCTCTCTGCCTCCTGAACTTTCCCCCTCCAACCCATCTTCCCTCCTGAAGTCAGAGGGAGTTCCCATGAAATCTGGTCATTGCATTCCTCTGTTTTGTAACGTCACTTGGTTTCTCATTGAGTAGAAGATAAAGTGCCCTCATCTCCTAATTCTCATCCTGACCCTTCATGATCTGGTCAACATAATGGTTGCCTGTTGAGCCTTAGAGTTAGTCAGGCTTAACACATCCTAATTCATCATGAAATTGTAATGTGATCTTCAGTTATTTATTTTGCATCTATCACTTTCCACTTCTTTATCAATATAATGGGAATGATAATTAAATAGATAAACCATGTAAAACTTCTAGCACAGTTTCTGATTGTGTAATCAAATTTCCATCTCTGTGGGTGACAAATGTACTTTCTACATTGATGATAGTGGCAAGGCATATCCTGATATACTGCATCGTCATTGAAGCAATCTTTTCTCAGCAACATTAACTGTTATTATCCTCCCACAATTAAGAGCTATCTCCCATGCCCTCTTCTTTTTAAGTAAACGTTATTGGAGTACAACATATATCTTAATTCGAGTTTCCCCAGAGATGTACCCTAAGGTAGAATTTGAGTGCAAGTGGTTCATTGGAAGGTGGCCCAAAAAAAGTCTTGGTAGGGAAGGAGGAAGTGAAATGGGGAAGAGATAGGAGCCGATAAAGGGTGCATTAACAAGCAGGTACTACTGCAGGCAGCTAGAGCTCAGTCCTACCGAAGATCTCTAGAAATGATATAAAACACACATCAGAGAGCAAGGGAGTTGGGATATTTACACACCACTTCAGTTAATCTTCAGTTAGGACTGCTCTTGAAGGGAGTTATTCTCTGACATGTCTGGCCTGCTGCTGTTACAGACAGAACTGTTGTTGAGGCCGGAGAAAGTCCTTAGGCAAAGAGATGCAGTGGCTGATTGCTGGAAGCTGAGCCAGCATGCAATGAAATGGTAAGGCCTGAAGGCCCGTGGGCAGGGAGCAGGCACCACATGAGAATCCAGTTGCTCCACATGCTCACCAACACGGGGCCTTGTCAGTCTCTCTCTACTTTTTATTCTGTGATTCTAAAGTGATATCATATGTCTGTTAGCCATTTTGGATATCTATGATGAAAGAACTTAAGTGTTTTGACCATTTTTTAACATGGGTTATCTGCCTTTTCCTCACAGATTTTTAGGGATTTTTAAATATATCTAGATACAAGTGCTTCGTTGGCCATACGTATTACAATATCTTATTCCAGTCGGTGACTTGCCTTTTTCTCTCTAGTGGAGTGTCTTGATGAAAACACTTTTGATTAGTGTTTCTTTATGACTAGTGTTTTTTTGTGTCCTGTTTAGGAAACCCTGGCCTATACCAAAGTCATGAAGATAGTCTTCTAAGTTATCTTTGGAAGCTTTATTGTTTAATCTTCTACATTTTGGTATATAATTTCTTGAAATATTTTTATGTGTATAATGTAAAATGAGGTGGATTCATAAATGCATGTATACAAATATATATATATATATGTTTATGAATTGCATATCTATATGCAATTAATTAATCACCATTTTTTTAAAAGACCATTTCTTCTAATGCACTGAAGTGGTACTTTTCTTGTAAGTCAAGAAGCCTTATAATACATGGGTCTGTTGTTGAATCCTCAGGTTTTTACCATCTGACTAAATAGCCTTAGCCATAGAGAAAGTAAACTAATAGAAATGAAATAACTTAGGGCCGG